CCCCAAAACCCCAAAACCCCAAAACCCCTTAAAATAAAAATACATGAAAATCGATAGAAATTAAACTAAGATAAAACTCTTTAGGATTCCTAATCTCAAATGTTTTCACAAAGACTAAGACTCATTAATTACTCAGATATTTTTAATATGATTTAGGGCCATGTTGAAATAGTATAGTCTTCTTTGACGATCAGTATCAGCTTACATAACACTTTCAAATTATACACTTCCGTACATTCTCTGCTTGTTTTTGAAACTCCAGTGGCAGACAACATCCCACTGCTTAGAAAAATTCTCAGGCCAATTGTCTAGAAATGCTTATCTTTGCTAAATAAATCTTAACATTATTAAAACTTACTTGATGTTTTTTGTGAGGATAAATTATCTTGGGCTCTTTGAATTTCCCTGTTAAAGGTTAATTAAAGCATTCACTATCATTCTCAGCGTAGTTTCCAGATCCACCACTCATTGAGCTAACTCTTGCTGATTGTGTTGGTCTGCTCTTAGTCCCCTACTTCTTTATCAAAGAGGAATCCTCCTCCATCTCCTCATCACTTTAGCCCTTCTTTTTCTTTTTCCTTTGAATACCACTCTTCAAATTCTCCTAATTTTTTACATTCACGATAAATGATTCCAAATCCGGCATTGATAGAGTGCCTCTTCTGTCTGCACTAAGTGAAGCATTTGGCTTATCAACTGTCTACTTGAACCAGCCGACTAGTTATCCCCAAATATAACCTGGATCATATTCTTTATTTCCTTTATAAACAGTTTTCTCTTGCTCTACTGGATTCAAGGATGCTTGAGATTGATTTTCAATTCTCACATCACATTTTCTGATCTTTTACTCTTCTCCCTTGCATTTCTTGTAGTTTTCATTTGGTGTGAAATAAGTATGAGTATTAGCGTATAACCATAATACATCACAAAGCGCAGGTATCATTACTCTTTATGATTTAACTGGCCTAAGGATATCTGAAATTTAGGCTATAACTGCTAGCATTTAGGTATATTTGTCAATGTAGTATTAACTGTCTTAGATATCAGCAAGGTAGGACTATTCTTATTGCAAACTTTAAGAAGCCATATTGATTTAGTAAATCGCATCATTTTTCTCTTAGCTGTTCTCTAGTTAATTTATCACTTCGATTAAACTCTCCCTAAAACATCCTGATGCTTCCCACATTCTGTAGTATCTCTATAATGCAAACATTAAATCTTAATTTGATTACCTCATAATAAGAGAGTTTTCTAACTGGTGGCTCCATTACTCCCATTGATTTTAGTACATGCATTACTTTATCAAGAGTTATTGCTATATTCCAGATCTTAGAGTCCCTTTAGTTCTTGGCTTCCAACATCTAAAATTATAATCCTTATAATAATTACTAAATCCTCTGCTTTATAGGTTGGATGAGCTTCTTTGAAGAATGCTGGATATACTTCTTCTTCAAAAAGGATGTACTCGCATATCAAGCTTGCCCATTTTTTCAGCCAATCAGGAACATCTCTTAAAACTGATTCTTTCAATCCAAATTCTTAAAGTCTTTTTTCATCTTCAGGAGTGAGTGCCGAGTCAGTACAGGCCTTGTAAATCAAGTAATTCCTATCTACAAAAGTGTGATATTTCTTCATGATAGATAGATGTTTCTTATCGTTTGCTAATTGTAGGAATCTTCCTTAGCAAACTTCAGTTCCACAAAGACAAATAGCTGCTTCATATTCTTTCTCTGATTCTGTGAGTGAGCAATAGTTGAAGCAAAGTTCTTCTCCGTAATGGACATCCTTGATAGCAAACATTCCAATACTGTATTATCCATCTCTTACATGAATAATGGTAGAGCAGTTTGGATTACATGAGTGACTGAGTCTGCTTGAATAATTTCCATAGAGAATTGGATCTACCATTAGGATATCATAACCTTGAGGGTCATCATGATGTCTTTCATAAGTGATGTTATAGAAATCTGGTAGGTCTTTAGATAAGTTTGATTTATTTTAACCTTATTTCAATACATCTTGCTTTTCATACCAATTCCAAGGTTGATATATTTCTCCAAAGTACTCAATTATCAAATTGCTTGCCTTTATACCTTCTTTTTTCATACAAAATATACCAATTCCTTTAGAGTGAACTCTAAAGTGTCTCTCTACATTATCCCTTATCATTCCTATACCAGATAAAACAATCTGAGCAAGATTTCTCTCGAAACTCCTAAATCTTGGATTTTTTTCCTCAGAAATGATATACTTCAGTGCCTCTCTTACATCGTATCCCTTATCTCCTTGTTAATGAACAGCAAAAACTAATCTCTTCTCTATAAAATCACTTTGCAATCTAAGAGGCATATCTCTTGGCAATAGAGCCATCAGATTGACAGCTGTACCCATATCTATACCCCAACTGATTTTTTCAATTACATCAGTATCAAACTTAAGTGCTTATTATAACTTCATTTGACGATTCTAACATTAGCTTGGATCACAACCGCAGTGATCAGAACATTCAACTTTTGCTAATCTACATTCGCAATGTGACTCCCAAACATCAGATCCTAACTTGAATGGTCCAAGATCTTCTATTTTAAGACAGCATTATCCTTGGCATTTTGCTGATTTAGTAGTCATCATTTTTCTTTTAATCTCTTCTCTGTATACATTGTTCTGATTTCCTTAAAGATATCTATTTTGAGGTTCTGAAGGTGTGACTATCTTATAATTTTCTATTGGGTTATACTCCCTCTTAGCCCCTGGAGTTTTCCACCACTATCCTTTGATCCTTGGATAATACTAATCGTTATAGGCATACTTTGCCTCATAATAGTTTCTCCATCTGCTCTTAAATTCGGCTTGCTTACTCTTTAAATGAGTATTGATTCTAGTCAGTAACAATGAAAGATATACTTTTGACATAGTATTTTGGCATCTTTTAATCATTGTTTTCTTAATCATGTACTCAATATCCACAAGCATATCATTGATTGAGTGATAGTAGCCATCTTCAGCCTTTTCCCAAACATCATCGATAGTTTCCAAGAATTCTTACTTTTTGAAATTATAGATAGCATGAGTATTCTGTGATTGTATTGTTTAGTTAACTGAGGTATTAATTATGACAGCTTCCTATTTTTTAATTTCTTCTTGCTACTGTTTTTATTCTTCGATCTTCTCTGGATTGTCAGTCTTCACAACCTTAATTTAGAATTCATGATCTTCCTCTTGATTGTCGTCATCTACCTCCATATTCTCATTTTATTATTTAAGTTTCCTATCTAGCTCCTTCAATCTTTTCTATTCTATTTACTTATTTCTCTCGTCCAAAAGTATCTATTTATTATTGTCAGTATTCTCAATCCAGGTAAAGTCACTCAAGTTTGAAGGTAAATTTAGCAGAAGCTTTGAAAGATTTTTTGTCTTATTATTGGCTGAGAAACCCTTCTTTTTCTTCTTTTTTCTTAACTTTGAGTCATTATTTGATGACTCCAATGCATCGTCTCCTTTTAAATTAAACCCCTCTTCCTCGAAAATAATTGAATCTCTAATATAGATGTCTGCACTTCCACTCTCATCATTATTGTCCATCTGCATTAGCTTGTTAGAATCTGGTGAGCTATCTCTGGCTTGCGCTAATTCTGAGGATTATTCAGTCAATTGATGTTTATTATCAAGATTCGAGTCTATATTCATATTTTCATTTTCTGAAATATTGCTTCCTTGATCTTTTTTTTCTAGATTAAGCTAGTTTTATTGAGATTCTTAGAGTGTCTTAGGCAAATTTTTATCAATAATTAGAGTCAATTAATATTGATTTTCCTTATTAGTTTCAATTACTTCAAAGTATGTTTACTGATTGTAAATTTCATCCCTTCTTTCCTTAGATAGTATTTTCATATCTTTAGGCAGTAGGTTTATCTAAAATTTGAGCTTGTCTCTTCTGAGCAATTATAATTTATCAATTTGGAATAGGATTGGGGTTAATAGTTCCTTTACCATGAATTATGTTGGATCACTCTATAAATTAAAGTTGAAAATAAAATCTAAATCTTACATCGAGAGCTTTGATCATTTAATTTTTTGACATTTCGGATGAGGTCATAGCTGGGGACGAGTCCTTATTTTTCTTTTTGTTGTCCTTTGGTTTAGCCTCATTATTTGCTTGCTAAATTTCTTACCTCAATTGTTCTACATCATTTTTTAGATCCGAATTCGAGTTATGCGATTCTCTGTTTCGTTTTCCTAAAACTTTTTCTTGACTTAGATCAAGCTTTATTTTATTGCCTACTTGGGGCTAAGGACTCTGATTAATATCAATGTCATTTTTCATTCTGTTATGTTGTTGGAAATCTGATATCAAAGTCTGCTTTTTTACAAATCCTGCCATCTGCTGTTAGGGTATAGGAGTTGATTATGCAATAATGCTTTGCTAAGCGTTTTTAGTGGTTAAATTGGGAAAGGCATTCCCCTAATTTGATGTGATCTTTTATTCATTTACAAGGGTAGTAGGAGTTAGATAAGCTGCTGAGGATTAAGCGGTATAAATACTCTACTAAGCGCTAAAATTATTTTAGTCCTAACCTCGCATTTGAGGATCAGGCTAAGATATTTACTGCTTTTGCTTTGTAAGCAACGATACAAAATACTCTTATGTTGTAGTAAAGGTGATTGACTTGGGATCATATGAAAAGTGATTAGATTCATTGAGACATTGTGGATGTGCCACATGAGTGGAGAGTTTCTCATTAGTAGTCTGATTTCCTAAATCCTAGGAAAGCCCTTCAGTTTTCCTTGTAGGAGGGCTTAGAACTCTAATAGTTGTTTTTTCATCTGTAATCTTATTACAAAGTAGACATTTTTCTTCCGAACTCGAAATTCTCAGAATGCACATGTTACATCGCCATTCTCCATTGCTGAGAAGTTTTTGAACTTTCTCAATGCATAGGTAATGTGCTCTCTTATCGCAGTTCAAGCACTTTAAAGAACCCTGAGTTTGATTTATGGGTATTAAACCCAAGCAATGCTCGCAAAGCTTGTTTTAAAGAGTGTGTAAATGGGCGGAACTCATATTTGAGCCTTAATCTTAAGTGGTTATCATCTTCAATTAATTAATTAGGGCTCAGCTCACACCTGCTAATTTTAATAAGCCAATTCCTAATAGTAATCATCGTATAAACATTTTAATAATCTAATTAATAAAACAAAATTATGTCTAAAGTTCCTAAGTTCTTGCTCGGTGGTATTAACTTCAAGCACAACTTCCTTGGTCTCTTAACTATTCAGACAGCTCTCTATGGTGTTGCTGAATGTGGTATCAAGTTGGCTCCTCTTGTTTTCTTAGGATATGGACTCAGTAATATTTATTCAAATATAAGATTAACGATATAGATCAAGCATAGACCTACTATGTTCAAGATAGAGATGAGTACCTAAGTGAATCTAAATCTGCTGAGAGAACTCCAGAGGTCAGAAGAGAAAGTTTTTGATCTGCTTTCAAGTCTTATCCAGAGGATGAGCATGATAAAGATTAATTATTTAACAAATTAAGTCTTAAATTTATTGTACAATCATGCTAGTTTCCATTAAGATTGAGAAACTAACAATTAAAAGAGATCTAACAATATCAAGGAATCAATCCGATAACTAGCAATTTCTACAATTTTATTAAACTCTATTATTCTTCATATTTCAGGGATTTCTCTTAGTATACTCAAACGTTCTTGGTCATCATGCGCTTTATAAGCCTTAAAAAATGTGACAACATAGTAAAGACCTGACACAAATAAGAGAGACCCGAATAACCAAAACATCAGACCTTTTGTTGGATCCCACTCTCTTATTAATGGCAAAAAGCCAAGCGTAATTAGTGACCCTCCTAGTAGAAGGAGGAATACAGACATCAATGCTGCCTTTTTTGGAAATTCTTCTCTCTAAAAATATAATATAAAGACTCATGAAGAGTAGATTACTTTGACAAACTCAGTGAAATTGTCTTACTAATGTATTTCACTAGATGAAGGAGACTCCTCAATCTTATGTATTATTTCTAGTTATCTTTCCTTTTCTCTATAATAATCATTTAATATTCATAGCTTACTCTTCTATTTGCTATTACTAATTCAAATCGTTTGTATTATGCTATTGATCATCTCTATAACTTTCATTAAATTCTATGTATCGTTTATTTTTCTAATTTTCACTCATTAAAGTTAATATTTATTGATTTTCAAATATTTTTATCCTTAATTTAATGTGTGTTGATGGGGTTTTGGGGTTTTGGGGAGATCGGAAGAGCGT